AGGGAGAGCAGCTGAGGGAGAGCAGAGCAGCCGAGGGAGAGCAGCTGGGGCACCCAGTACCGCTGAATGAACAACTACGGACTCTCGAACCTTCTGCTGGTAGTCAGCCATTGATGGATGTGTTAAATCAGTGGAGCCACAGCCTGCTAACAAATCCCCCTCATTAATATTTATATGTATGCCTATGACACCCAGGTACATACACTATTTTATAGATTCTGCTCCTCTAGAGAACTCTGCTCAGCTTCTTTGAAAGTGCCACTCATTTCTTTAACAACTGCACCCTTAATGTCTACACCTTTCTACACTGCTGTTTAGGCCAGATTGCAGAGTTTTCAAATCCTGCTCAGCCTTTTGCTCCTGTTTCACTGCAAATGTGATCTAGAGCAGGCAGAAAAGCCCTGTTTCGGCCTAGGAGCCATGCTACATTGAAATTTCCAACACCAAATTAACTAGTTACTTTTAAACTTACTTCTGGGTCTCAGGCTTGGAAAATGCTGACAAGTTCTTTGCCAAAATGGAACAAAATTTCCTGTAGCCCACTCCCAACAGGAGCCTCACAGCCAGGCTGCTGTGTCCCCCTGGCCTGCGCCGTGTCCCCCTGGCGTCCTGGCCTGCACTCCCACAGCCACCCAGGAAGCTCTACTTGCAGAAGCTTTTCTGAAGCTTTCTCTAGCCCACTCTTCAACCCAACCCCACTCAGGAATTAGTTACACTGGCGGCAGTATTCTCAGTGCAGCTGTGTGCAGATCAGACAGAAACAGCATGGAGAAGGTCAGGTTCAGCCATGGCCACTTTGTCCCATGTTCTTGGGCACAACATCACAATGGTGCCGTGTGGCTGGCAGGAGGCACCAGGGACAAGAGCCCAGGGCCTGCTCTCCCAGGACTTCCTCCTTCCAGTCAGCTCCAGCTTCCTGAAACTTCTAGGACGTACAAGCAGTGTCACCGGCTAGGCACCGGAGCTTTTACATGAGCGTGCACTGGAATCTTATATTAAAGCAGAACACGAGGTCTCAGAAACCCGTGACCTGCGCCCAGGCTCTCTCATTCTGTGTCAGCTGAGAACATGGCACGCAACTCCAAGGATGTGCTACCCAGCGCGTGTGTTGTATGTTTGCACAGATGCTGTACAAATGCACACACACTTAGGTAGAGAGCTATGGCGTGTGAGCTGGCTGGCCACCTTAGCAGGAGAACGGTGTGTCTCTCTGCCTACTTTCCCAACCCAAACAAGCTGCTTCTAATCGTGGCCATCTGTCCCCCGCACACCCGTATGTCCTAGGAATGCTTAGCAGACCTCCCAACGTCATCCTGACTATGGCAGTGTCTAAGCAGGCAGGGCCACGACAGCACCCCGAGCCAGAACAGCCTTCTCTCTGTCCAGTGGATAGCCAGATCCCACGTCATCTGTCCCATCATTTCGCCCCTGTTATCCTTCCCACAGCCCGGTGCTCCGTCTCTACAGTGAGGTGACATGTAAATTTGGTGACAGCTATGTCAACAAGGTGACTTTGGTATCCTCGGGCCAAAAAGATTTTCTCACATTTACAAGTCACCTGGTACTAATCAGGTTTACACTGTCAGATGAAAAAACATCAAATTTGCCATTCCATTTTCTGAATTCATGTTCTCCTTTCATCTGGGCCTTTAGTGTCTAGGGGCAAGGGGGCATAAGGACACAGTCATAAGGAGGAAAGAGCCTGATGTGAGAATCTGGCTGGTTATTTTCATCCCTGGGTTCCAATGACATCTTAGGTGTTCTCTGAGGTTGCTTGTTCTGACATGCACAGTCAGCAGTTCCATGGTTCCACTGGGCTGCTTGTGAGCACATTCCCAAGGCCACTGACAACCAATCTTTCCCAGTGACCGGCAGCATCTCAGGGGCTGGTTAGTCACGACCTGGTACTGGAGCTTTCGGGGCACTAGGGATGCTCGTGGCAACCCAAAGACTTGGATGCTAGGCATGCCATGCACAACAGCAGGTGACACAGCCCCGGGCCCTGGGGTTTGGAACAGCCAAGCTGCCCTGTGAGGATGTCTGGCACGAGCGTGGAAGCCTTCTTTGTGTGCAATCTCCTGCGCGCACTCCTCAGATGGAAAGGACCGTGTGCCCGCCGATGCTGGTGTGCCCACAGAGCCAGGCTTGCATGGGTCTTTGCTGAGGAGTCTTCTCCTGCTGAAGGTGAACCAATCGTGGTGCTCGCTCTGGTCAGCCAACACATGCCACTGGCCGGAGCTGGCCTGCGTGTCTGTGTTCTCAGGGCTGAGAAGGTAAGTGTGTTTTCACTGCTGACTAGCCCGCTACAGGCTCCTCAGGCTGTCAAGGACCCACCTGTGGAGCTGTGGTAAGGGTGATGGCTGGAAACCCACCAGCTGTCTTGTTTGCCGACAGCTGATGACCTCATCAATGTCTGGGCCAATCTCTCACCACCAAAAAGAGAGCCTGACACACACAGAGGCCCAGGGCAGGTCAGATGAGGACTGCAGTGAAGTGGTCAGGCCCAGTGATGGACAAGACAGAGACATAAGACACCAGAGACCTTCCAAGCACGCACTACGGGGGCACCTCTTCCACCTGAGGCAGAGCCGCCAGCAGGCCACCAGCTAAGCCCAGCCCCACCAGAGCCGGGCTGATGGCAACCTGCAGGGCAAATGCAGGAAGCCCCTCACGGGAGCGTGCTGAAGAGCTTTCCCTTCAGTCCTTGCCGTCCTCAGCCCACCGTCTAAAAGCCCCAGGGACCATCGTCTGGGCATGCAGTGAGGCTCTAGCCCAGACTCTAACCCACCCTTCTGCTCAGCTTTGTTCAGAATCCAACCATGGGGACCACTGTCCAACAAGGCGACTCTGCTCTTCTTTTTTCCTTGGTTTTTCAAGTTAGGGTTTCTCTGTGTCGCCTTGGCTGTCCAGGACTTGCTTTGTAGACCAGGCTCGTCTTTTCGAGATAAGGTTTTGTCCCACAGCCCTGGCTGGTGTTAATGTAGTGTAATGGCTCACACTTGCACCGATCCTCAGCCCCAAAGGGCAGGGGATAACACCAGCTCCTTCGCAACCTTTCCTAACTATCTACTCACAGCCATCGAAGTTCCCCAACTGGAACATGCAGCACTTGTTCCTGGGACTGGGGTGAAGACCCGGCAGAATCCACAGGTCACTAGGGAGCCTCCCTCTTCCCCTCCTGGAGTGTGCTGGCGTGCAGTCCCCCACCACAGGAGCAGACCGTGAGCCGTCAGCCTTTCATCACGGCCCAGCACAGGCGTGGGCGGCCTTACGCAGCCTCCTGTGACTCGAGGAAGCCTCATGGCTGCTGACCTGAGAAGGGAACCGCAGCCACCAACAGAGCCGTCACCGTCAGCTGGCAGGTGGACTGCCCTTTCCCTCACGACTACATGGCGAGGGAGGACACTGACACAGAGATGCTCTTCCCAGCTCTCCTCATTCTTAAACACTTTTCTCCAACAACCTGCACACTTCCATTCAGCTTTCCACCTCGTCAGAGCGACACGGCAAACGGGACACCCCTTCCAGCAGCTCACACGTCAGTGACAGCTGCTAGCTTTGCTCAACAGAGTGTGGTTTGCCTTAACTTCCCTTTAGCTCAGAGTGTCAAAAACAAACAGTGTCTTGGTTTTTAACTTCCCAAATTCCGACGCTTCTCGATCAAGATGCCCACCGGAAGGGGGCCCCGCCCAGGCGCAGCTGGGCTGCCCCTGTGCTGGCCAAATGTACAAGTGTGAGGGCAGGCCAGGGCTCTCCCTTCCAATAGCACAGCTGCCTGACCATTAGCGCCCCCCCCCCCCCCGCCACCGGGCACTCCCTGGGAAATGCAGTGCTTTTCTTCTACCCCGGCCTTCTTGCACGCCTGGTCTCCAGGGGCCTCTGCTTTCCACAGCCTTGCCAGGGCCCCTTGTCTTTGGCACACGGCAGGGCCGTTAGGGCTGGGCAGGCTGATTACATGAAGTCAGAAATGCTAGGAGAGAAAGTGCAGTCCACCTTTTGCCAGCTCTGGTTTCGGCACGGTGCCACCTGAGGGGCTTCCTTCTATGTTTAGGGAGGGCACAAGGGTCGGGTTTGATTTTTTTTCCCTTTAGTTTACAAAAACAAACAAAAAATCAGAAGTAAATTGGACCAAATTCCATTATTTGTCAATTAAAATCTTATTTGTGGTCTGAGATTGCATTTGTTTGTGTGTAGGGCACGGTGTTTGTGTGGAGTAGGAGTCGGCTCTCTCTCCCACCTGGGCGTCTAAGGGAGCAGGGGCGTCTCCAGGAGTGCTGACCCGCCACAGCGCCCCACAGCAGCACCGCCAGCTCTGCACCCAGGAGCGGGGAGCGCACAGACCCTGCTCCCGCTGCTGCCAGGTGGGGCTGTAGGGAAGAGAGCCACTTCTCGGGGTGGGGGTGGTGTAGCCAGGCCCGGAAAACAACCCCACCCCACGATAATGCAGGCAGCCTTCATCACTCTCGGGGGACCAGTGAAAAAGACAACCCCCAAGAGTGGGAGAGGGAAAAGAAGGAAGTTGGGGTGATCGAAACACTTCATGTACCTGAATGAAGTTGTCGAGGATAACTAGGAACCACTGAAAAGAGGACAGTGTGGGGAAGGGGAGAGGAGAGGAAGCGACTCTGCAGGCAGACGCTGTAGCACACCTGGCTACCGAAGTGAGGTTATCTGACAGACTGTGCTTCGGTGAGCTCTGTGTGAAAGACCCTGGCTTCCTCACTCCACCCTTTTCCCCCACCGAGGGAGCTCCCGGGCTTTCAGCCTGCAGCTGCTGTCACACCCCTCCTTCTCACGATCGTGTACCCACGGCCGGCCTGCAACAGACAAGCCAGTGTCTGTGGACATGACTTGGGTGCGGCTGTCCTCAGAGCAGGAAGGAGCTAGGCCTTCTGCAGGCTGCAGCCTTCTTTTTTCTCCCTCCTGCTCTAGAATGCTCACTTCCCTATTGCGGCCTTGTCAC